ATTCAAGGCAACTCAGTCCTTCTACCATTCTCACACACTTCTGTAATGTAGAGGAATTGTCTCTGTGCACCAGCAATTTTCTAGTAAGCAAAGATTACAAAATCCAAAGTGTGTTGTGTTGTCCCTTCCCTTGGTAGAGTATTTTAAACAGTTAATTTGGTTCAAAGTAGAAGTAACCATGGAATCAGCTGTTAAATATTCTGTACAATTCCTTAATATGATGCAGTATTTTCTTCTTAAGTGATTTTCTTATTTTACCATTTCAAATATAGGCTAAATATAGAAAGCAATAAGAAAATACAAGATGTGATTTATTCTTGGAAGTGAAATCTTAATTAGTGTTGATTTACACAATAAAACCGAAAACATTTAAATAACCAAAGTTTGCATGTGATTTATATTAGTTATAAGTGCCATTTAAACCACTGCTTAATCAACACAATGAAAACTTTACAAGTCAAATTTTTCAAGAGCTTTCATCCCAAAGAGAAGTTTCTAAAATGTAGTCCTGAAAATCAAAGTGTCCATGATTGCATGTTTTATTGGATCCAGATATACATATTACCTTATCCTTAAAAATTACTGACTTTCCATTTAATTCAGTTGTATTTCCTCTTCAGATGTGTGATTCTATAACCTAAATAAACTCAGGATGTTTTCATAAAAATGCAGTAAACCATCTGAAAGTAATTTCTCTGTGTGGTATGTGGAGAGTTTGACGGGTGTATGTGGCAAGCTTGTAGCTTAACTATTCCCTACTGTACTCATTTTCATCAAAATAATAAATATTCAGAATAGATATATACTTTTTCACATCCTATAGAGAAATCTTTTTTGTGAACAGTAAAGGGTATGTCAGACTTACAGAGAATTTGAACAACTCTGAGATGAATTCTTCTCAGGTACTATTTATGACTCTGAAATGTAATGATTTTAGCCCTTTTTCAGAGAGCTAAAAGAAGGACAACTGGAAAAGCCCAAAATTCTGTGGTGTTTCAATTGAACATAAGTTGCTTAATATGAGAATTTTTGTAGGAATGAAATCACGAGACAGGTCTCCCAAGTTCTGACTTGACTCCTAAGCAGTTCTCTAAGGGTATTAGAAAAGTGAAGATGATCCCTGTGTGGTGGTTTACACCTGTAATGCTAGCACTTGGCAGGCTGAGGCAGGAGGATTGAACTGCAGGCCAGCCTGAGCCACATACCTTGTCTCAAAATAAAATAAATGAAAGAACGGTAGAAGGACTGAGTTGCCTTGAAAGAAAAATGATGGGTCAGGATTATATATTGCTTTAGAAGAAAGGGGAAGGAATATGGGAAAATACCAAATGGGTTCAACCTGTATTTCTTGGGGGGTCTAGTACATGAGGAAAACCCCCTGTTTAATTTCCTTAGTAGTTAACCATTGAGCAATTAGCGTATTTAAGGCATTGTTCTGAGTGCTGGAGATACTACACTAAACAGTAGAGGAGTGCCTCGTGGCTCATGAAATTTCCATTCCAAAAGGAATGGCAGAGGTCTAAGAACTAATTTAATACTATAATTGGCATGCTATTGAAATGGCCTTTGAGAGTCCTGGGTTCAGGTAGGAGTTTGAAACAGAGAGTAATCCTCCATAGAAATGCTACAGATGGATGAGAGAAGTCCATCAAATGGGAGAATTGTCTATTGAATTAGCAAAAACCTTAATATTCTCCAAAGGTAAAATTTTTTTATGCACCAAGAATTGAACTCATGACCTCATGCTTGCCAGGCACACACTGTGCCACTGAGCTATATCCCTAGCCAAAAGTCTATTTTAATTAGAGCTTTTTATCTTAGGATTGTTTTCTATTTCCAAAAAGATTATTTTGGCAGTACTTACGATTGCACCCAGGGCCTTAGCACTGAGAAACATCCCTAGACTTTCTTAGATTTTTTTCTACTGGTATCAGGAATCGATCTCAGGACCTCACATTTGCCAAGCAGGCACTATACCACTGAGCTAAATCTCTGAACCCTTTCTTATATTTTTTTTTACTTTGAGGCAGGGTCTTACTAAGTCACTAAGTTGTCCAGGCTGGATGAGTTTACACGTACCATTCTCCTGCCTCAGCTTCTGAGAGTACTGAAGTTAGAGGTGTGTTCCACAGTGCCCAGCAATTTCAATTCCATTTGAGTAACATACTGTATAAATATTATTTTAATGATATGCCGTATAAATACTATTTTAGCAACATATCATATAAATAACACTTGGTATAATTGTATTTTTTAAATTACCCCCAGAAAAGTCAGTGTTATAGATCTAATGCAAAATTATTCCTGTGGTTAATGATACAACTACACAAATCAAGAGCTTCATTACATACTTCAGTGACTTAACTCCATTAGAGCCCCACAAATTGACCACAAGACTATAAATATAATTATGTCTTACATAATCTGTATTCAATGTCTCTTCTTATTTTTGTATATACATATTTGGCTCTAAAGAACCAATCCATTCTTTTAAAAGTATCAAACTATTTTTACAAAATATATATTGAATATATATTTTCAAACTAGATTTCAAAATATATATTGAATGGAGATTTTTAACATAGCCCCTAAAATACAAATTGCTACATATTTTGAAAATATGACATTTATAATATAGAAAATCTGAAAAATTGATTCTACATGTAGAATAGACATGATAATGAGACTTTTCCTCAAATCTTTACTCTATCCTTAGTGGGCAGACTATATTGATCTTCAACCTCACTGGAATTTTAGTTCTGTGTAGAACAGCAGAGATGCAGTTCATGAAAATTTGTAATCTTTCTGTTTGTGGTTTGTTTGTTTGCTTACTTGTTTATTTTGTTTTTGAAATAGTTCTACTAAGTAATCCTTTATGACCTCAAATTTGGGATTTTCCTATGTCAGCCTTCTGAGTTGCTAGGAGTAAAGGTTTGGGTCACCATGCTTGGCTCAAAAGTTTAAAAACTTTTGCTTTCCTTATTTTCAGTACTGGGGATTGAATCCAAGGATTTCACACTGATATGTCCCCTGTTCATTTTTATTTTTTTATTTTGAATTAGGGACCTTACTAAGTCTTTAAGTTTCCCAGGCAGGGTTAGGATTTGTGGTCCTCCTGCCTCAGCTTCCCAGTGTGCAAGTATTACAGATGTGAACCACCTCACCTAACTAAAATTTTGGGTTCTTAATCATTTATAAAGATATCTGCTCACTTTAACTGAAAGCCATTAAACAAATACTACACTTTTTGACTCATTAATAGTTGATATCTAGTTCATCCTCAGACTTTAATGGAGCTTACCAATCATATTAAATAAACTGTTTCAGTCTAGATAATAAGAAGTCATAAGGTTGGTATCGTTTCCTTAAAAATAGAATTAGTCGAATAAAAATTTTTTCATTAGTTTTTGGCCAATACATAAAACATTAACGTTTTCTAAATACAAGGAGTGATTTCAATAGTTGATGACAAAATTTGGCTGGGCACTAAGAATAGAAGAAAGAAAAGAGGTTTGCTGACGGTGAAAAGTGTGAAGGCCGGTAATAAAGATAGAGCTATTGTTGTGTTTGGAGTTCTGTAGAGAACGAACTAAAACTTCAGAAAGTGGTAGATGGAAAATGGGATATTTGGGGGGACTTTGCAGATGAAAAAGATAAGTATAAGTGAAGAAGAGAGCTTCATGAAATGAAGTTATTAGCTATCAGATGTGACTATTGAAGTACAGAAGTGATGTTTGAACACCAGGGTTTAAATCCTGCTCCAGGCACCTACCAGTTGTTCCCTTGGTCATATATGTAACTGAAACTGTTTCTTCATCTGGTAAAAATGAGGTCAATGATAGCACATTTTTCATACTTAGGAGGATTAAATGATTTAATATTTATAAAATTCTCAGTATATAGCATATGGTAAGCAATTGCAAATATTTGTACCATTACCATCATCATCACAATCATTTTTATGAAACAGTTCTGCATGAATGTCTGGTTTTCATTCATTCAGAATTTTTAAATAACTGTCTTATATAAGGCATTGTGATAAATATCCTTTTAAAACTTTTGAATAATTTTCATTGGCTGTTTTGTGCTTCAGGAATTAGAGGTTGAACAGAACTAATACAATGCAGCCCCATCAAAAAGTTATCTTTGAAGTTTTTGCCATTAGCTTTCTTGACAAAGTAAGATGCTATTTAGTAAAAATAGAGATTCAGAAGGAAATAAGACAGGTCAAAGCAATGATTACTCCAGCAAAAGAGAGGCATGATGGTAGGCCATGCTGGAAAGAGAATCTAGCCATATTGCTGAGGCATTGTAGTATCCAAAATTCATGAAGATATGAGTTAGAAAGTAGTAAAGATAGGGGGTCTGCCCCCTTAGCTCAGTTCTTTAAGTGGCTGCTTCAACAAAGCAGTCAGGCTCAGGTTGCTGTGGTTCGATCCCCACAACTCAAGCCAGCCAAACCTGCCCTGAAGGCATTCGGAGCAAAAAAAAAGAAAAAAGAAAGAAAAAAAAGAAAAAGAAAGTAGTAAAGACAACAGGTTAGCCTTGTGGCATTCCATCTTGAAACAACGGGTTCATATCCTTGTAATTAGGTTAAACACAAGGGGCTACCATCTTAGAAGTTGGCAATAAAGGAATAGACATTTGAGCATTAGATTATGAGACAGACACAGTTGCTGATAATGTAGTAAAACCATGAAAATCATGATCTTCTTTTTAAAGGACCTTAATTGAGAAGTCTGGGACTCCTAAGAGAGCAAATCTAGGCCATTTATAATGTATAAAAAGTACTTCAAGTTTGCATTATCACCTGGCCAATAGCCACAGGCAGTTTCACCTTCTGGCTCAAAACACACATTTTTTTCATCTACACAAATGCCAACCATAATGTTGCATATGAGTGAGTGTGTTTTGTACACTGTAGCTAAAAAACCAGTGTAAGTTTGAGCAGACATGGGGAAGAAAAACAATGTGATGTGAACTTTGTTCTCTGTGTTTAGGCAAGCTACGACCTATATCTATGCCAGTGGAATATAATTGGGTGGGGGACTATGAAGATCCAAATAAGATGAAGAGAGATAGTAGAAGAGGTAAGTGTTCTAGAATTTCAGTGTAGGCTGGGTTGATTGAACAATGAACAAATTGTAATGTTCTTTCAATAGACTGTTATGGCTTTAGTGGAAAATTTATACTATCATTGACTTAGTTTTCAACAAACCAAGACAGACCAGTGTTTGACTATCTTGACCCATTATTAAATAGAACATCTATAAATTTGTTCTAGGGATTCAAGGTAGAATGGAAAAAGTGAATAATTGATTGTTATTTAAAGTTAGTATTTTGAAAATAAAGTCAGAAGTGTGAAACTGCATAAAGGAATTAAGATCAGTAAATAAAAACCTAAAATGCCTTTATTATCTATGGTAAAATGTAGTAGTACATTTCAATCCACATTGGTCCACAATGTAACCTTCTCACTTTTGTAGGAAATACAACCTCAATATGAACATTGAAACACATCATTTAAAAAAGAGCTAATGCAAACTGAGCCAGTGACTAATAAATACCATACTGACATGTGGGAAAAAACACTTTGCTTTTCTTCTATTCTGTTTGCTGTTCCAGGTGTTCTTACATAGGGGTGGGGTACTCTTTAAATATCTATCAAAAGTAAGTTTTATGTTCACTTACCGAGCTATGGAGGTAAGCAGTAGATAAAGCAATCGAAAGTCTCACTACTGTCTCACTACTACGTAAGGTTTACTAAGTGTGGAGTGGAACTAGTGGGCCTACCACTTTCATTTTCTGAAGTACAGCTATAAGATCATGATGGAATATAAAACAAAACAAATCAAAACTGTTCGTAGAACCTAAGCTCACTAAGCGTCCTACATGGTATGTTTAAGCTGTTTGCCTATTATTTCTACCCAGTGTACATGAGTTATTTCCTTACTGCACAAATGCATAAACCATATGGGTAAAACATGAATATCTGCTTTAATTTTCTTAACACTTGTTTTATTATGTGAACATTTCCAAAAACGCTGGCAATCCAGAAACATCGACAGATTCTTTTACATCTGTGTATTCACTCCATTTCCCAAGCTTCAGTTTCTAATTCATTTGTTTATGGAATATAAATAATCCAAGAAAAAAAAACAATGCTTGTCTTATGCCATCTCTGAGTCATTCTTTTCATACTTGATACTGTACAAATACTGTTGGGGATTCTATATGAATAACTAAATGTCTATTATTCAATCATGCATTGATTTTATGAGCTAAGTTTCCTGACCTTTGATTCATAATGTGGGCTTTAAGTTCTTCAGGGATCCTACCTAGCATGGCATAGGCCAGTGATTGTCATCAAGCTTTAGAAGAATCTTCCTCAGATGCTTGTTAAAAAAAATTTAAGGGTCATGGCCAGGGAGATGGCTCAGTAGAATAAGTGCTTGCCTGGCAAGTGCAAGGGCCTGAGTACAATCCCTGGTTCCACAAAAAAAATTAAGGGTCAGACACCAGAACTTCTGGTTCAGGTTCCACAGGTGATTCTGATATAGTTAGTTCAAAGATAAAACCAGAAAAAATAATCTGTCAACTAATTCCTTATTGTCCTATGATCCCCAAATAATTAATACTACATATAATATATATATATATGCTAAATCAGATTAAAGTTCTGAAACAAAATTTATAGCACTATTATAAAAGAGTGATAAATTTAATGTATTTCTATATTTATGTTGGTGTATTTATCTTTTTTATATAGAAAACTCTTTGCTTCGCTATATGAGTAATGAAAAAATTGCTCAAGAAGAATACATGTTTCAGAGAAACAGCAAAAAAGACACAGGGAAGAAGTCAAAAAAGAAGGGTGATAAGAGTAATAGCCCAACTCACTATTCCTTGCTGCCTAGTCTGCAAATGGATGCATTAAGGCAAGACATCATGGGCACACCTGTGCCAGAGGCCACACTCTACCATGTAAGTAAGCATTGTTTAAACTCTTTGATACAGCTTTTCTGGGAAGACGTCAGAGATAAATTCTAGGTCATTTTTATCCAACTGCCAGATTTCCACAAATATACTCTAGAGTATATACCCTTAAAATGATGACTTACTGTTTTGTCATTCAGTTCAGAAGTTCAGTAAGTTCATATGTTGTAGCAAATTGGATTTTTCATGAGACGGTATGCATCAAATGATGGAGAACTGCAAATAAATAGCAAATTAATGACCTGTATGATAATATACAGTACATAGATATAAATTCAACATTAAAGATGCAATGTTTAGTATATTCAAGTTTACATTTAAAAATGAGTACTCACTACATGCTAGGTATAGACTGTGATATTAGAGGTAAAAATGAGAAGACAAGCATGCCATTAGATGGGGAGAATGATACGCTGAGTATCCCAGTATAAATTAGTGTAACGGATGAGTACAGAAACTATAGAAATGGCATAGGAAAAGGAGGACCTTGCCCTCCGGGGGAAGTGAGAACAACCTTCATAACGGGGAGTATTTGGGAGAAAAGTGAAAGATGAATAGGAGGGTGTCTGGGGGTGTACTCTCATTGCATAGGAATAGGATGTGTTCCAGGAACTTTGTGTGGCACCAAATTGCTGGCTCATTAGAAATCAACCCATATTAGGCTGTTTTGGTTAAAGAGAGTTTGTTGTACAAATAGAACTGTAGCTTCTAGTTACAGGCTTGGAAAACAGAATACAAGTTTTTAAGTAGAATTTTTTAAAAATCTCACTTAATGTTAAAAGTATAAGAGAAATTAATCTGATAGTTTGAAGTCATACTGTCTAGGTATAAAAGGTGTTCAAGATTTTAAAGCTTGAGTTCTTTCTCTGAGTAAATGTCTTAAATGTGATTACTGATGTGTAGGTCTGTCATAAACCTAGAGTGGAATTTTTTTTCAGTTGGGTCATCATTATTCTCTCTCTCCCTGCCAGTTCTCCCATAACATACCTTTAAGCCTCTTCCTTTCTAAGAGCCAAATGCCCCTATCAACATCTGACCCATTAAATGACCAACAAAGCAAATTACTATTTTTTCCACCGACATTTAAAGTCAATATGAAGTGAGTACTCTTTTACGTCATGTGAAGGGGGCCATTTTTATTATCACTAGTCAGAAAAAGCATGTGAAGACTGAGCTTCCTCAAGTTCCTCGTAAGGAGCCTCCTCCTTATGACTGGAACACCAGGTTCTAGTCATAAGTAAGTACTAGTCTGAACAAAGTCTGAAAATGAGAGAGCGCTGGCTTATTCAAAAGGGAAGTTAATAGTGAAAGATGAGGCCCAAGTGGGAACAAGAGACTCCTTGAATTCAGATAGTATAATCTATTGAAGAGTTTAGCTTTGTCTTAGGAAGAGTTGTAAGCTATTAAAGGCACATTGAAATATACAGGATGTTTCATTCTGTTCCATGCATGTACAAACAAGTATTTACAGTACTGTGTGCAGAAGGAAAATAGAGGAATCTCACAGACATACATTATTAAATTTAAAGACTAGAAACAGTGGGCTGACCTGACAATCAAGAATATTATGAGTATTGTCTAGCACTATACATTTTTACCATCTTTCTAAAGGGTATTATTTATCAAGGTATATCAGTAACCTGACCTAGTAAGTTTACTTCTAGAAGTTTATTTTAATAAAGAAATGAGAGGGTCCACTTTTTTGTCCTACTTGTGTTAGGTATCCGGAGTCTATAGCATGGTATTTTCCAGTTGTATGATACCTTTCCCAGCTAATTTGTGATGGGGTAGGCAGGTCAGCAACAATTAAAGAATACAGTTAACCTGGGAGGCATAATCTCGCTTGTTACATTGATCCACCAGTTTCAGAATAGAAGGCTAGATATTTCCTCTGTTCTCAGGTTTAGAGGAAGTAGAATAACTTTTAGCTGCCAAATACAAATTGGATGGCTGTAAGCACTGTACGAAATGAGAGGACTTTCATGGCAGTTTTACAGGACTCTTTTAAGTACCCTTGAGGACGTCAACCTGTCACACTGTCACATATTTAGTTCTTTCACAATCATCAAAGGAGTTGCAAAATTTGTTATGTCTTTTGAATCATATGAAAGCTGTCCTATTTCCAAATTAAAAAGCTTGAACTTTGAAAAGTTAAATGACTTAGCCAGAGCTGTGTTGTGAAAAAGCATAAGTGCCATTGTTAGGAGTAGAACCAAATTCATCCATTCCAGGTCCTTCTGATACTCTACCCTGGAGCTTTGTGCACAGTAAGCATTCCATGTATAGAGGACTTTTTACTTTTAATGAGTCAATTTTGGAAAGTTATTTGAAGAAATGTGTGTCCTCCTATAATGTTGTTAATAACGTATTAACTACCAGATTTCTCTTTTGCTGCATATTACTGGCTTTTTAAGTTAGGCCAAGCATAGCACTGTTGCTGTTATATCACATGTCAGTTATTCAATATAATCTATTGCTTGGACTACAGAATACAATAATTAAATTGCTGGAGCCTAGTTTGTTAGTCTAGTTTTTCCTAAATTTGTTTAACAGGAAAGCACTGATTTTTCTCTACCCATATGATTGTCACAATAGTTCTTGGCCACTTCTTCCCATTTTGAGATGTCATTTTCTCTGTCAAGAATGTTTTCACACATGCATTCCCCTGGCTGTCCAACCCTAAAATCCCAGGAGGACTTTCCCGACCACTCTCCTCCGAACTAAATCACTCTCTCCTATTTTGTTCTCTTAGCACCCAATACATCTTGAAAACCTCCATTGCGATCTGTAGTTATGTATTTATCTATTTGAATATCACCTTGATATTGCTTTCTCCTGTACATAACCAGTCATGTATGTCCATATCCATCACAGGCAGGGACAGTGTCTCCATTTTGTTAAGCACTATGTTTTAGCACCTGGTATAGATGTAGAATCTTACAAGTTCTAAATAAAAATGTGACTAATAAATGCATGCATGAATAATTGCATGTGGATAGGAACTTTGAATGCCTTTCTCAGTACCTTGAATCTGCAAAGAGAGGCTTCCCAACTGTCCTGAGTCAGTCCAACAAGGGCTAGCCATATAAGTTTAGCCTCTTTCCCAGGACTCCCACCACACCTACTTGATTCCAATTCAGAGCTTCAGCTTCAGCTAGTCATTGATTTCTTCCTTCCCTGTCTCATTACTGAGGACCCAATATGCCCACCAGCCATACATGACATCTCAGTTACTTCTTTCTTGTTGCTAAGGCAAAATACCTGACACCCAAGTTTAAAGTAAGAAAGGTTTATTTAGCTCAGTTTGTGGAGGTTTCAGTCCATAATGAGCTGGCTCTGAGGCAGGGTGGATCGCGGAGGGGCAATACTTCATGCTGGTGGAGGACAGAAAAATCAACAAGAATGGAAGGGGCAGCAGGATGTACACCCAAGGACAGATGTAGCGCTGACGACAAATCCTAGTACTAGACCACGAACTAATCACAAACTAGATTCTGCCACCTCCAAAAATCCACCCCCATGACCATGAACAGCTTTGGCCATACATCCAGACACAAACCATAATTATGTCATATCAGAGATCCTTTCCACAATGCCAGTTATCAAGGGCCCCTGCTGTGAGCCCCTAGTCTCCTGCCAGAACCTAAAACACACAGAGGGCAGAAAGAGCAAAGACAGAGTAGGGGTGCAGAAGAGAGCTGGAATGACCAGTTGCTCATGAGAAACCTAACACCATGAAGCAGCCAGAACCTTGGTGTTTATTCAATACATCTGTGTCAAGAACAGTGAGTAAAAGGCAGGGTGTATTTCTAGGAACAGTAATGGCAACTGTGGTGAGCTAGGAAGAACAAAGCATTCTTGCAAGGACAAGGACAAGGATGAACCTGGAAGGCAAGGAGGATGCTGTAGTTTCCCCTGAGCTTCATGTTCAGCAGGTCTTTCTTATCTTGCCCTGTGAGCACCATAGCAGTCATTAGCCCTACGGTTTCCAGCTGTGGCCAGAAAAGAATCTGACATTTCCACGTTCCAATCTGGCTCAAAGGGTGGGCAAGGATAAGCGTGGATGTTCCCTAGGCTCAATTTATAATTTGTGGTCCCCAAAAACATTTTTCAAAAACTCATAATTTTGCTATGTAGATTCTCTTCTGAAAATGTATAAGTTGTTTGAAAGCACATGAAAGAAAATCAGAAAACAGTGAATATATGTGTGGAATTCAAATGTTTTGAGAAAAGTCTTTATAAACAATGAATTGTTCTGAACCTCATCTTTAAATCTTATAGGACTGTTGTTCATACTATGATACGCAAATAACAAATTGATCTCTCATTGAGACTGCTAATATCATACTCAAAGTAATTATTTATTTTAAATCGATCTACTGAGATGCCAAAACAAGTGAATTGTGATTACAGATCTAGACAGCATGCAGGTATACTTTCATAAACTGAATAATGAGGTTTAAGATGGTTTATGAACAGATTTTGAATAGATTTTCAAAAATCTGTGTAATTCCTTTTGTAACACTCTAACATCTGTGGCTAGTATTAGCTTTTTAGGATATAACTGCAAAACATTCAATTGTCACTATATTTCTAATAAGTACTTTTAAGCTATTCTAGTCAATTTGTGAGATTTTTTAATGGAAGTAGAGTGATGGGTAGGTATTAAAGGGAATTGGTATTCTTTTAATATAACAAGTAAATATGAAATAGACACAATTGGAGCCAGGGAGATGGCTCAGTGGAATAAGTGCTTCCTTGGCAAGCACAAAGGTCTGAGTTCAATCCCCGGTTCCACCAAAAAAAAAAAAAATAAAAAAAAAAAGAAAAGAAAAAAAAAAGAAATAGACACAATTCTAAACATTTCATAAATACTAACTTATTTAATCCTCATAGTAGCCCTGTAAGAGAGGTGCCGATGTTATCCCTGTTTTACAGATTAAGAAGCTGGCATGTGTTCTTTTAATTTATTTTTTCCCATAATTTTA